TGATGGACTGTCCTTTCCATTTGCTTATATGAGCTGTTCTTGCCATAATATGGACTTGGTCTTTTACCAAATAGGGCTATCTTCTGTATACCCCCCTACCTTGTCACAACGCAACTGAGGAAAGAAATTCCACAAATTAACTTTTAAGAAGGCACACTTTTTTGGTTACTACATGATTCCATATGTATTATTTCATAGTTTATTCTCCAATGTAGAAAATAGTAAAAATAAAGAAAAACCCTTGAATGAGTAGGTGTTCTGAAACTTTTGACTGGTAGTGTACTTTTCCAGACAAAAAGGCCTCCATTACAAAACTGAATAGCCTACAATGTTTCCGCTCAGCTTTACTCACGAGGCAATGTGAATGTGTCCATGTTCTCAGGAATAGTAGTTGAACACAAACTTGCTGTCCAAATCGGTTCGTCTCCTCTCTTTTTAGAACAAAAACGTTTAGGAGAATAAAACAAAGTTAATGCAGTCCAGAGACCAACTCAGGCAATTTTGTACTCGTTGAACTTGGGTGCGCATTAGATGACACATTCTCAGTATATATGAGCCTATGTTGATATTTGTTGCTTTTGGAGTAATTTAATACAGATTGTTTTACAACTTTTGTGTTTTGTCTGAATGATCATTCAGTAGTAAATAGGAAATTCAGCAGTGTGGTAAAGGGCCTGAAAAAACATCATGAATTCACTAGTGATGTGGATATGGAAAATCCATCTAATACATCTAGATAATGATAGGCTCACCATTTAGTATTTTTACCTACTTTTTAATCCAATAGCAAAAATACAAGATACACATTTAAAAACTGTTCTTTTTGAAGTGCTGAATAGAAAGAATAGATGATAAATATAATTTTCCATACAGTATTTGACTATAACCTGACATGCACAATGTTTTATAATTTTTATCCAATGGCAGGTTGTGAGCATGTTGAGAAATATGTCAGTCTTAAAGTTTCACTATCCTTACACAGTACATACACTATATACAGTGAGGGAAAAAAGTATTTGATCCCCTATTGATTTTGTACGTTTGCCCACTGACAAAGAAATGATCAGTCTATCATTTTAATGGTAGGTTTATTTGAACAGTGAGAGACAGAATAACAACAAAAAAATCCAGAAGAACACATGTCAAAAATGTTATAAATTGATTTGCATTTTAATGAGGGAAATAAGTATTTGACCCCCTCTCAATCAGAAAGATTTCTGGCTCCCAGGTGTCTTTTATACAGGTAACGAGCTGAGATTAGGAGCACACTCTTAAAGGCAGTGCTCCTAATCTCAGCTTGTTACCTGTATAAAAAGACACCTGTCCACAGAAGCAATCAATCAATCAGATTCCAAACTCTGCACCATGGCCAAGACCAAAGAGCTCTCCAAGGATGTCGGGGACAAGATTGTAGACCTACACAAGGCTGGAATGGGAGCTGAAGGTTCGAGTTGCCAAACGTCAGCCTCAAATGACTTGGAGAAGATCTGCAAAGAGGAGTGGAACAAAATCCCTGGAGTCATGTTTTGCAGAGGGGTCAAATACTTATTTCCCTCATTAAAATGCAAATCAATTTATAACATTTTTGGCATGCGTTTTTCTGGATTTATTTGTTGTTATTCTGTCTCTCACTGTTCAAATAAACCTACCATTAAAATTATAGACTGATCATTTCTTTGTCAGTGGGCAAACGTACAAAATTAGCAGGGGATTAAATACTTTTTTCCCTCACTGTATACACAAAAGTATGTGGACACCCCTTCATATTACTGGATTCGGCTATTTCAGTCATACCCGTTGCTGACAGGTGTGTAAAATTGAGCAAACAGCCACGCAATCTCCATAGACAAACATTGGCAGTAGAATGGCCTTACTGAATAGCTCAGTGACTTTCAACGTGGCACCGTCATAGGATGCCACCTTTCCAACAAGTCAGTTTGTCAAATTTATGCCCTCCTAGAGCTGCCCCGGTCAACTATAAGTGCTGTTACTGTGAAGTGGAAACGTATAGGAGCAACAACGGCTCAGCCACGAAGTGGTAAGCCACACAAGCTCACAGAACGCACAATTTACTTGGGTGCTGCCAGCTGTGGGCAGGATTGAAATAAACCAAAGGAAAACTGTTACAGTACCCTTCATTCCATGACATACCATTTTTTCATATCATCTCGCAAATCTCAGTTTTGGACGAGATTGACTTTTGGACCAAAATTATCCTATTAACATTTTCTTATTTTTTTCCTATTTTGACACTAGAATAAATGACTCATATCAAGGCTGTTTTCAAAAGGAGGAGTATATTTTTAGGGGCAGTCACTCTTTAAATGCATTGATTTTAATATTTTTAGTTTCCTCAGTCATTTACAGTAGACATAATTTAACCAATGTCTTATTTAGGGTACTAATGTGCTCTACCATTTCAATGTGCTAGGTTTTTTCAAGCCTCTTTATTTATTTGCATTGAAGCTCAGGGTCTAGTCTCCTCAAATCCTAATCTGGACCTCAAAGCCAGTTTGACTGCTTTTTTTCCCATTCTTCCCCTCTAATCAGGGACGGATTTAGACCTAGGACACCAGGTGGGTGCAATGAATTATCAGGTAGAACAGAAACCCGCAGTACTCCGTACCTCGTAGGGTAAAATTTCAATACCCCTGCTCTAGTCAATGTCCAATTTTACTTATGAAAAGTTTTAAGTGTGTGAGTGTTTGTAAGATGAAAATTCAGACACTTCCTCTTTTGGAACAGGTCCTGTCTTTCGTTAAATAGCAGAAAACAAATAATTCAGTCAACATTCACTCCGGTTATCGACTATGGCAATATCGTCTATATGAATGCAGCTGCCACTGTATTGAAGCCACTGGACGCAGTTTATCATAGCGTATTATTACAGATGATAGGTTCAGTATACAGCATTGCATTTTGTATCAGAAAGTAGACTGGCCCCCGAAGTCTCGTAGATCGACGCATTGCGCTCTTTTTGTTTAAAGCCCTCTTGCATAAACTTCCGCCATACTTTACCTCATTAACCTTCAGACGTATAAGTTACCAGACCCGGACTCAGGGATGGCTAACCCTGGATATCCCTTCAATCTCCACCGAGTTAGGTAAATCTGCTTTTAGTTTTTTTGCACCTCATGTGGAATGATCTCCAAAAGTCCTTAAAGTTGGTGGATTTGCTGCCTCTAGGGCAATTCAGGCAGATGTTTACTGAAGAATGTGTTTGTTTCATGATTGTGTTTTGCATTTCATGTTTTGTGTAATTGATGTGTATATAGATATGTATAGTGTAATTGTTGTTTATTGATGTGTTGTTTATTGATGTGTTGGACAGGTCGTCATCGTAAATAAGAATTTGTTCTTAATTGACTTACCTGTATAAATAAAGGTGAAATTAAACGTTTTAAAATCATTTTGGAGTGCACAAGGTCCAATGAACAATGTAATAATTCCATGCGGCAGTGTTCGAAAATAAACATATTCATTGGACCAGCGCCGTTGAGAACTACTAGCGCCGTTGCTGTCCCATTTTTGCAAAGAGTTATGGGATATTAGAATCCCGTTGTCTTAACCGAATCTTTGTCATCTTTAACCTAGTGGAGTGTGTACAATTCAAATTCAAATTTCAATTCAGAAATTCCGAATTGAAATTCCGAATTGACCCCAACCTTGGTTGATTTTAGTTGTGTCTCTCTCACCCTGTTGAAATTAAACATCTGGTCAAATTCCTGGCAATTCCCTTCTTCAATTGAGTTCTTAGAAATAAATACTTATACTTAAACATGTAGAAGCTCTCCAATTTGATGCCATTAATGCAACAGCTGGTTGGGTGAAATGTGGTGCTTCTATCACAAAGGGCACAATTCTATACTCTAGCCACCCCATTATGTAACATAAACAATATGCTTGGAACTACAGCATATGAATCCTACAATACAAAGGGATAATAGCAGAGATGGGACCCAGTCACAATTTAGCAAGTCTCAAGTCTTAACCTTAGAGTCCCAAGTAATAATGGGCAAGTCTCAAGTAAAGTCCCAAGTTCCACAGCCCAGGTCGAGTAAAGTCACAAATCCCTAATTTGGGGTTTTGAGTCCTCAAGTCAATGGTTAAGTGTTTTATGCCAATTTCAATGCTATTTTTAATTTCCAGTTTTTCTTATGCTACTAGTTTTTGGGACCAATCCCGATGATGCCACAATGACAGACTCAATGAACGTCTCTTTGACTTGACGAACTAGCGTTGACCACAACAGTTTGAGTGACATTGAGAAATGTCCAATTAGAGTCCCTACCCCCCCCACAACCCCGCCCGCCCACTGGCTGCACGTTGAGAGGTCTGTGGAGGTTGGTTGGCTAATAACATAAGGTGCTGCGAGAGGAGAGGAGGTGAGAGAATGAGAGGAAGGTGAGAATGAGAGGAAGGTGATGCCTTTTTGGGATAGGGAAATCTAAACAAGTCTCTCGGGTCAAACAGCTTAAGTCCAAGTTAAGTCACGAGTCATAGATGCTCAAGTTGAAGTCGAGTGTTTTTTCTTTTTGACAAGTCAAGTCTCAACACAAGTAGTCCACATCTCTGGATAATAGTGAGAAGAAGAAAAAATGTGTGACAAAGGCAAACATTTGTTTTCAACAAAAAGGTTTTATTAAAGTGAAATGGAAACTACAGACAATGAACTTCCTTGGCCATGGAAAACAATTACACATGGCATTACATTTTCGCATATACCCACAAATCCCACCTGCAGTTTTTGCAATAGAGCTTTGGCAACTTCATTTGTAAACCAGAAATAAGAACAATCATCAATAACGAAAGGAAAACAAATAACTCAAAAGTAATAAGAATTCAATGTGTGTTTCAGCTCTGGTACTGGAGTTGAACAGAAGAGAATGTAGAAACTCCGCAGAGTAAACAGTTCAACATTATATATAAATTACTTCATGCCTTACCATTCATTAAGTCACTCCACAAAAATCTATATTTTTATTGAATTATTTATTAATTTAAGTATACATCATCTCGGCCATATGTGACATTTTCTTGGGAATATAAAGATAATACTCCATGTAACCAGAAAGGTCCTCTATTGTGATGTCATCAACATAGCCCCGGGCCTGTTCGGAACAGGAACGCGGGGAGCTTGATGCTGATGTGGTGGACCCGGCGGTCTGAGTTCTCTGGTGCGGGGAGGTCTGGGACGCGTCCTCAGGGCTCGCCAAGTTCCTCTCGCACTCTGAGATGACGTTACGGAGGCCCGTAAAGGAGTAGACCTCCACGCCCTGCCAGCCCGGGCACTGACACTGGCCCTTGCTCCGAGCGCAGGGGCACAGGCCCCCGCCCTCGTGAAGCTTTGACAGGGACTGGAAGTCAGAGGGCACAGCTCCAGCTCTGGCTTCAGCTCCACTCACACTCGCCCCAGCTACAGGGTCAGCCCCCACGCAGGAAGCTGCCTCTGTGACACCCTCGCCCTCCAGCCTGGCTGTGGGGCCTTCCCCAGAGGCAGCAGGGATGTGGGGCTCGTAGCCAGCACCACCAAACACAGAGGAGGATTGGACCGAGGAGAGCAGTTCGTTATTGACGGGGACCCCCAGGAAGGAGCTGCAGCCCTCGGCCTCCGGCAGGTTCTTGTGCTTCAGGTGGCCAGGCGGGGGCGACATCTTGGAGCCACAGTAGGTGAACTTTGGAGGGTGGAGGATGGGAGACTTGGATCTCCGGCGTCTTTGACTTCTCACGGCTCCTCTCGACGTCTTCCTCATACAACTACTACGTAGAAAAACAGTGTCAATACCAAATATAGGCCTAACTATCACAGTGAAATAAATAAAATGTTAAAGACTCAGTGGTACAAAGTACACATTAACATTACAAAGAGCGCGTAGCAAGATACGAAGCTATCATGTTGCAGAAGAGAGGAAAAAAAACTCCCCTGCACATGCGCAGATGCTCTGTGTGGGTGCTCGCAAGTGCTGCCTCTTGCGTTGCTCTCACTCTGCAATATCTTTGGATCACACTGCCACTGGTAGTCATATCGCTGGGTCTCAGTTTAAAGCTGCCATGCAGTTTTATTTTATTTTCACATCATCACTTTATATCTAATAAATCACTGTGTGTGTATTTGTTTGAATATAACTCCAAAATATATTTGTAATTTATTTCCCTGAGCTCAGTCCGACTGTGTGGGCGTGGGGATACAAATGTGAATATATAGTAAAAAAAAGATATAAAACACAACATGCAACATTTTCTAAGATGTAGAGTTCATTTAAGGAAATCAGTCAATTGAAATGAATTAATTAGGCCCTAATCTATGGATTTCACATGACTCGGAATACAGATATGCATCCGTTGGTCACAAATACCGTAAAAAAAAAAATTCATGCTGAAACATGAGGTGATGGAGGAGGATGAATGGCACAATAATGGGCCTCAGGATCTCGTCACGGTATCTCTGTGCATTCAAATTGCCATCTATAAAATACCATTGTGTTCGTTGTCCGTAGCTTATGCCTGCCCATACCATAACCCCATGGGGCACTCTGTTCACTACGTTGACATCAGCAAACCGCTCACCCACACAACGCCATACACATGGTCTGTGGTTGAGGCCAGTTGGACGTACTGCCAAGTTCTCTAAAACGACATTGGAGGCGGCTTATGGTAGAGAAATTAACATTAAATTATCTTGCAACAGCTCTGGTGGACATTCCTGCAGTCACATGCCAATTGTACCCTCCCTCAAAACGTGAGACATCTGTGGCATTGTGTTGTGTGACAAAACTGCACATTTTAGAGTGGCCTTTTATTGTCCCGTGCACAAGGTGCATGTAATGATCATGCTGTTTAATCAGCTTCTTGATACGCCACACCTGACAGGTAGATGGATTATCTTGACAAAGTAGAAATGCTCACTAACAGGGAAATAAGCTTTTTGTGCATATGGAAAACGTTGGGGATATTTTATTTCAGCTAATGAAGCATGGGACCAACAATTGTTATGTTTATATTTTTTGTTCAGTGTATTTACAAACAGCCCTGATTGGCTGATAGAATCGGCTAGAGCCCACCCCCATCAAAAAAACAACAACAAAGGCACATGGTATTCAACCCGCGGAAAGCGACAAACTTCTACAGGTGTATAGGCTACTTTGTTTTGTCGAAACAAAAAAGGCATACATCACACATCTTAATTTGCTATATCATGGTTGTACGGTTTTTTAATAGGTCACCAGAAGACGCAGGACCAGAACAGCCTGTTTGCATGGTGGACCATCCCGGACTATACCGTCTGCAGTGTATTCATTGCAGAATGCCATGATTATCTACAGGGAAGACTACGGACGTCAGTCTCAGAGGCCAAACACAGTCAGTAATACTTAGTAGCCCATTGTACACTCTTCAGTATTATCACAGTCGATTTCATCCTTTAGCAAAATAGACTGTGATACTGGAGATTATAACTTAAAAATATATATAAGTAAACACTGGAATTACATGTTTTGGAATGTTTTCTGTTGTTCAAAGTAAATAAAGAAACCAGATCGCAATTAAAGGTTGTCATTCTTCATGAATTATATTTTCAGTTATTTACATAACATAAACAGATCATAAACAAGGTTATAATGAAAGTCATGGCATGTAAGTATATTTTCAAGTTATTCTTTTACAACTCAAGCTCTGGAAGGTATAACGCCCAGTAAAATGTGTTTCTATTCTGATCCCTACAAAATAAGGAACACCTGTTTTAATGACTGATGGTGATTTTCAAAAAATGATATGGAATTTTACATGATCAGACACTGTCTTATCCAGGTAGTAAATTAAATACATTTCTAAACCAAAACAAATTACAGAAAGCATTGAGTCCCACACATGTAATATAATATTAATAAAAACAACTTTATTTAAAGAATAAGGTTAGGGGAATACATTGTCTCATTCAAACCTGAAAATAAAGTGCAAGTTACATCACTATCATAACCATAAAAATCATACACAACCACTTGCCCTCGCATTCAGGTGCCATACAAGCAAACCACATCATCCCTTCTATCGTTCCTGTAACAAAGTCAACAATTTCTAGAGTAGTCCTCAAGTACATTGAAGTGTCACTCTTTCTGTTCTGACAATCAGCCAAATGTTAGCTTGGTCTTCGATCTGTTTGTGCTATATAGCCAACTCCTATGTATAGCCAACTGATATGGTAGCATCGCATGACAACTATCATACATAAGGAGTTAGCAAGACAGCATAAACAGATCTGGGAACAGGTTAGAGCATTTCTACGAGCGGCACCACCAGCTTGATATGTAGAGCAGCCACCTCCACCAGCATCAACATAGGAGGGTTTGGGGGGAAGCAGTTCAGCTGCTTCTCTGCCAGTTGATGTTCACCTGTCTGTGTCTCTCATTCAAGTAGGTCCTCATCAAAAGCACCTTCCTCCAAGAAGTCCATGACCTCATGTTTCTTTCTCATCCTGCAGGCCTTCCTCAGCGATGACCCTTTAGCACATAAGAAAGGGGACCATGAATGGAAGGGAATTGTGTTGCTAAGTTTGCAACCTGTCTGCAAGGTAATCCTAAAAAAGGTTTTCACGCTAACATTTGAGAAAACATGTAACATAATTTAATATCTAATAGTCATTAGGGTTATATATACATTATTGCATTCAACAGCCAGAAGGATTACATTTGTTTTAGGAATCATATATAAAAGAAAAACATACACCTAATGAGATATCTAGCTGGCAAATAATAATAATAATAATAATAATAATAATAGTAAACCCTCTTCCTTCTGGCTTGCAGGCTAGTAGTTACTAATCCAAATACAAGCCATGATGTTTTAGCTCTAATACCTAATGACAAATACTCTTCAAATTGTCAATTTGAGCATTCTATTTTCTATAGACATCAAAGAAAACATTAACATCCAAAAGACAAGAGTCGTTACATTAAGTAGGCTACCTTGGTCCATTTTGGGTGACTGCTTGAACAACAGTAAACAGGCTAGCTAATATTAGTTAGCTAGATTGCTAGCTACCAAAGTCTGTGAGCTAACTTCCTCTCAGGCCTGGAAATAGCAATGTCATTGTAAAGTATGCAACTAATTAGTAGGAAACAACTTTGCTATCATTATCATGTCGTCAAATTTACTTTAGAGAGATGGCAATTGCCATAGCTAGAACAGTTAGTCAAAAATAGCTAGCAATGCTAACATTAGCTAGCAAAAATCCGGTCCTGTCCCTCAATCTTAGCTAAAGTTAAACTCCATCTAAAGTCAAACTGGCGACATCACAGGGATGACAAAGGTTTTCCTACTAATGATTTGCCTCCTTTAGAAATATTCTTCATTTTCCCAAGTCACTATAAAGCATTTTAGACAAAATCTTCATCAGCACATGGCTCAGAGAATGCATTGAGTAGTAGAATGTTAATTCGGGCATCAGTCCTCAAGAGAACTTTCAAAACAATATTGTGACGAAGCATGCAATCCATGAAAAGCATGTCCTTTACTTATAATACAAAAATAACTAATCTAGACACTTACATCATGATTGGTTGCTGCTGCTGCCAGTTTCAAGATCCATGCGACAATCTTGATGGGGCTGCTGGGAAATCCATGCGTGTACCTAGCCAATGCGGTCCGATGTGAAATGTGCTGTGCATTTGTGAAGGTTCGGACTGAACTTTTCTCACACTTGATCATGAAAAAGAAATCGAAGCCAAATCAGACGAAGTGATTGTTCGGATGGAAGTGCAAAGACAGCCATACTGCACAATCTCTCTTGCTTTTGGGCGGGACAAGCACGAGAAATAGGAGGATATATGCAAATAAACAATGAAAGTTCATTCGCCTATTATAATCAGATCGCTGTGTGACGTTCTGCAGGGTGCCAAGAACTCCATCACACCTGAACAGGTGGAAATTCCATGAATTGTTTTCAAACAGTTCTTACACGAAAAGGGCATCATCCTCATTTTCACAATTTCAGAGTTTTAATTTAGATGGAGTTTAACTTGAGCTAAAATTGAGGGACAGGACCGGATTTTAGCTAATTTGACCTTGGAATGGAAATACTTTTTTTTTTTTTTACCAGGAAATGATGTTAAGTGCACTGCCACTAACTGTTATTATGAGTTCATAAACTGAATCTATCGTTTGTTTTGCGAGAGGACATTAGCACTGTCCCTGAATCACAACCAGATTAGTAATTTCTTACAAATATTAATCAATCCACAAAGTTTTAGAGCCTAATAATTTATTTACTAAACCTAATAAGTCTGGTATTTCAAGTAGGGTTGGGCAGTATCCAGACTATCATAGCGTTTCTGTACCATACCGGGGTAAAAGGTATTACCGAATGTATGGGCCCCCTGTAGCTCAGTTGGTAGAGCATGGCGCTTGCAAGGCCAGGGTTAGGGCTTCGATTCCCACGGGGGCCAGTATGAAAAAAGTTTGTCGCACGTACCACATACCGCTAGCAGCATTTTAGCCACAGACTTGTGTGCTCGCTGTCTAGTCTGTTTTATACATTTGCAATGAGCATGAAATAAAATACGCACAAAAAAGCATATTTCTCTCAAATTGTGTGCACAAATTTGTTTACATTCCTGTTAGTGAGAATTTCTCCTTTGCCAAGATAATCCATCCACCTGACAGGTATGGCATATCAAGAAGCTGATTAAACAGCATGATAATTACACAGATGCTCTTTGTACTGGGGACAATAAAAAGGCAGTTTTGTCACACAACACAA